CAGCAACGGATCGCAACCCTCATTGTTGCCCCCGTACCGGACCGGGGACCGGCAACGGGATTGCAAACCTCGGCGCTGCTCCCGCGCCTCGCTCAGCCAGTGAGCGGAACCGGTCTGTATGTGGGATCCGAACCCTCGGGCGGGAGCGCCGCCGCGCTTCCCAAGCGGCGCACTATCCAGTTCACAACTGACAACAATGCAAAAGTGATCTTGTTCACAGACGAGCGACTGAATTCTGTGCCCTGGGGTCCGTACCCGTTTGCTAGGGCCAGGGCTGCGGTAAGAAGGTGGCTGAAACAGAAACGTACTTGTCACAGTTCTGGAGGCCAGAATTCTAGGACCGAAGCACCAGCAGGTTTGGGTCTTCCTGAGGCCTCTCTCCCTGGGTGTAGACAGCCCCTTCCTGCTGTGTCCTCACGTGCTCTTTCCGATGTCCTTCTGCATCCCTGATGTCTCTCTGGGTGAACAAATTTCCTGTCTTATGAGGACGTCAGTCAGATGGGATTAGGGCCACCCTAATGGCTCGTTTTAACTTAATCAACTTCTTAAAGACTGTCTCCAAATACAATCACATTCTGAGGTACTGGGGGTTGGGGCTTCAACATATGAATTTGGGGGGGACACAATTTAGCCAATAACAGCCCCCCAAAACCCCAGTTTTGCTGCCATTTGCACGTTTGTTTCGATGGTCCTGATCTGTAAATATGTCTGTTCTTGGGCTGCTTGGAGCGGTGCTAATGTCTGCTGGGCCCCTCATGGGCTGAGCATGCTCTCTAACACGTTGTCCACCCCCATCTGTAGACGGCCACGATTCCAGCTGCCCTCCTTGGGCAACCCACCTGCCACTGTGATCCCAGGAAACCCTGCTTGGGGCTCGGGCAGGCTTTCTTTGGTGATAATCCTAACTCGAGCGGCTTTTTTCCAGGAGCATGAGCCACACCAGGTTCCTGCTGTCAAAACTATACAAGAGCCAGGGGTGACTTCACAGCTTTGTCTGCAGGCGCCATCTGGCCTGCACAGCTCAGCTGTTCCACGGTTCTCGTTCTTTCCTGTTCGGCTTGTGTTTTTGCCCGTGTCACCTGCGTCTCGAGCACTCTCTGACTTGACCACTGTGCAATATGATTTAATGTCTGCTTTGTGCCGGGTGCTTCTCTAGGCATAGGGGACTCGCCCCTGTCCTGGTGGAGTTTGCCTTCTAGTGGGGGAGCAGCAACAGACAAAAATGCCAGTGTCTGGTGTGAGGAACAATAAGGGAACAGGTGACAGATGCTGCTGTTTCCAACAGGGTGGCCGGGGAAGGGTTCTCTGAAGGGTTGATGAGCAGAGCCAGCGTGCTGGGTGCAGGAAAGCACTCAGGGTGGGAATGAGCGTGGTGAGTCTACACAATGCCCGGGAGGTCGTGGGGTGAGAGCACTGGGAGGGATGGGACACTGGCTAAGGGACCATGGACCAGGTGAAGACTGTGGATTTAACCCTGCATGTGACCATCAGCCCACAGAAGTGCTGCTGGGTGAAGAGACAGAGACAAGGGTGGGGTCAGGGGCTCTGGTAGAAGGTAGCTGTGGGCAGGGTTGGGGATGGAGGAGGCAGTGGCGAAGTGAGAGGTGGCATATTGGAAACACGTGCTGCAGCCTGGGATGGGGGGCTGAGGGAACAGTCAAGGCTGACTCTCAAGCCCCTGGCCAGAGCAGCATGCTGGATGGATGCACTCTACTGAACTGAGAAAACCCAGGGCAGGAATAGGGTTTGAGGCCATGGGCGGGAGGGAAGCAAAGAGTGTTGGATTCATTCTGTTTGAGAGATAGCCCCTGGGCAGCCCAGAGCAGACCAGAGCTGTGCATTCTTCTGTCATCAGCACAGGGATGACATTTAAAGTTATGGGAACAGGGCTGGCCTGTGGGCTCAGTTGGTTAGAGAGCTGTGTCATAACACCAATGCCAAGGGTTCAGATTCCCATACCAGCCAGGTAATGATTTCTTGTATATGACATCGAAAGTGCAGGCAACAAAACCAAAAAATAGGCAAATGGGATTGCATCAACCTTGAAAACTTTTGTGAACCAAAGGACACAATCAACAGAGTGAATAGGCAACCTCCAGAATAGGAGAAAATATTTGCAAACTATATATATGGTAAGAGGTAATATCCAGAATATACAAAGAACCCCTACCACTCAACAAAAAATAAAATAATCTGTTTAAAAAATAAGCAAAGGATTTGAGCAGACATTTCTCCAAAGAAGACATACATGTGGCCAACAAGCACATGAAAAGAGGCTCAACATCACTAATCATCAGAGAAGCGCAAGTCAAAACCACAATGAGATACCACCTCACACCCATCAGGATGGCTATCAAAAAAGAAAGAAGAAAATAAGGGCTTGCAAGGATGTGGAGAAATTGGAATTCTTGTGCACTGTTGGTGGGATTGTAAAGTGGTGCAGCCACTATGGAAAACAGTAGGGAGGTTCCTCAAAAATTAAAAATAGAACTACCATATGATCCAGCAATCACATCTGGGCATATACCCAAAAGAATTGAAAGCAGGGTCTCAAAGGGGTATCTGCACACCCATGTTCACAGTAGCCATGAGATGGAAGCAACCCAATCGTCCGCCTATGGATGTGTGTATAAACAACGTGGTGTACGTATGGAAAAGGAAGGAAACCCTGTCACACGCTACAACATGGAAGAACCTTGAAGGACATTATGCTAAGTGAAATAAGCATAAAAATAAGCACAAAAAGACACACACTATATGGTCTCACTTATATGAGCTACTCAGATGCTATGGTCTGTATGTGTCCCCCAAAATCCATGTGCTGGAAACTTAGTTTAAAACTAAACTGTATTAGTCCATTTCTGTTGCTTATAACAAAATATATGGAACTGGGTACTTTGTAAGAAAACAAAATATACTGCTTACACTTTCAGAGGCTGGGAAGTCCAAAGTCCAGGGAACACATTTGGTGAAGGACTTGGTGGTGGCAACAGTGACCCAGGGGTCTCACATGGCAGAAAATGGCAGAGCAGGGAGAGAGAGAGAGCTCTTCGTGCACTCTCCTTTTAAAACCCTCAGAACCACACCCCTGACCACCATTTTTAATCCATTCACTACTGCAGGGTCCTACAATCCAGTCACCTCTTCAAGGCTCCACCTTTCAATTACCATAATAGGATTTCCCACCCTCTTAACAGCCACAGTGGAGATCAAGTTACTAATACATAAAACTTGGGGGACACAGTCCATATCAATCCCCAATGCAACAGTGTCAGGAAGTGGGGCGTTTGGGGAGGTGTTTAGGTCATGAGGATGAAGCCCTCATGAATGGATTAATGCTGATATAAAAGGGCTTCACTAAAGGACTTTGGTCCTTTTCACCGTTCCACCTCTTGCCATGTGAGGACACAGTGTTCCTCCTCTCTGGAGGATGCAGTGTTCAAGGTGCCATCTTGGAAGCAAAAGCCAGGCCCTCACCAGACACCAGATGCCAGCACCTTGATCTTGGACTTCCCAGTCTCCAGAACAGCGAGAAATAAATTTCTGTTCTTTATAAATTACCCAGTCTTGGGTATTCTGTTAAAGCAGCACAAAATGGACTAAGACACTAGAGTGGTAAAACTCATAGAGCCAGAAAGTAGAATTGTGGTTACTGGAGCCACAGGAGGAGGGACTGAGGCGTTGTTTCACAGGTACAGAGTTTCAGATTTGCAAGATGAAAAAGTTCTGGAGATCTCTTTCATATAATATCAATATACTTACTACTGAATTGTAGTTAAGATGGTAAATTTTAACATGTATTTTTACACAATAAAAAAAGTAAACAGGCAAGGGTGGACTAGGAGAAAATGTTCAGAAAACACGTATCTGACAAAGGACTTGCCTTCTGAGTAAAGAACTCCTACAATACAATAAAAATATAAACAATCCCCCAAAATGGGGCACAAGACTTGAATAGATACTTCGCAAAGGAAGATTTGGGTAAATTTTAATATACTTATTAGCTAGTAAAAGGGGATTAACTTCTAAAAAGAATGAAGAGATTACAGGAAGAGAAGATGTGGAGCAGCCACTACTTCTCGGACCGAGCACAACATCCTTGGAGGACCCCCTCCCTCACCCCAGGATGAGACTAGGGCCTCTTTGGAGAGCAGTGTGGCTGAGGTCACTAAAGGCCTGAGGTGCAAAGCTGGGACTGGTGGGCAGGAAACTGCCTACTGCTGAGACATGCTGGCAACCACCTGCTGGCAAGAAGAAAAGCACCAGAAGCCGGGAAGGAAGCCCCTTCCTTTTGCAGTGTCCCTCCAGTGCCCTCTACTGGCAAGGCTTAACATTACACCAGCTGAGAAAGAAGAAATGTTTACAGGGTCCAGCTCCAGGATGATGAGGACAGCAAAGAAGGGTGGATTGGGAGCTAAGAGGCAAAAGCTCCAATTAGCACAAAGTTTGAGTTTTACATCCACTTTAGAAAACTTGTTAGTTTCTTGTAAAGTTAAACCACCACTGGTTCTATGACCCAGTAATCCCATAACTCCTAGATATTTCCCAAGAGAAATAAAAATATGTATCTACAAATACTTGTTCATAGCAGTTTTATTCATAGTAGGCAGAAAGTGAAAAGAATCCAAATGCTCATCAGAATGGATAAAGAGGGCCAGCCCGGTGGCGCACTGGAGAGTGCACCGCTTGGGAGCGCGGCGGCGCTCCCGCCGAGGGTTCAGATCCCATGTGGAGACCGGTTCCCGCTCACTGGCTGAGCGCGGTTACGGGCGCAACACCGAGGGTTGCGATCCCATTGCTGGTCAGTAAAAAAAGACA